CGGAGGCGGAGTTTGCAAACTGAAGCAAAATTTTGCGGCCGGAGCTCGTCGTACCCCGAAAAGTTAGTTAACAGAAGCGTTCGTAAACCGAGGTTCCACTGTACATCCAATTTTTGTGCATTAATTACCAAGGTCAATTTTTACCCTTTTATTGCAATTGTTTACCAGCACCTTCTTTAATCTGGTGCTTCTATATTTATGGGAGTTATACTTACAGCATTTCTGTTGTTAGGAAAATCTGCTCTACATAGTTCACAAGGTCAATAAACTTCAGTTAACATGAAGTTTATACAACAGAATCATAAAAACAGCCAGTGTGGTATAGTGGTTAAGGTCTTAGACTGGCATGACATAGAAGCTCACTGGATGATTTTCAGCCAGTCAGACTACTTCAACAGACTTCTTGTTGTAAGAAAAGACAGAATGAGGAAGCACCATGTATAATGCCTTGGATTCTTATATAAAAAGCAGGATATAAGTCTATCAAACATACAAATAAATAATAATAATAAAAACACCATACCTTCATTGTCCTCTATCTGAAGTATAAAGCAGTGCTACTCCTACCTGCCATACCAGGGTTTTTTTTGTACAAACAGTTCTCTACTTATGAACTTTCGAGTTATAAATTTTCGCGAATATGAACAAACCTCCAACAACTCCAAAAAATGAAGGTCCCAGAAGGAAGGTCCCAGAAGTTTACAGTGTGTATGCATGTATACACCCGGAAGTGTACATGTGTGCATGCATATGTATGACCAGAAGTTTATGGCATGCATGCATACATATGCAGGCAACATAAACTTCCAGGCATATGTATGTGGCGTGCCATGGTTGAACTTAAGAACAAAATGGGCTTATGAATAGCCTAACCACATTGACATTGTACTGAATGAGATTCTGTTTCAATCAATTCATCAGCTCATGTAACAATTCCTTAAAATAAGGGTGTTTTTTTAAAAGTCATTTCAGCACATACCTGACATTTTCTACAGCAAAGTCCATTACTGCACTGAGAGTTAGCAGTCAGACTGCAGGAATTGCAGCATTCGCCACCTTCAGCAAGACATTCCTGGGGAGTAGAACCAACTGTAAAACAGCAGTTTGACAGGGACACACTGCAGCTTGACAAGAAAGCTGTTGACACACTATCCAAAACTTTACCTGCCTGCCTGCTCTGTATGTCATGCAAACTTCAGATTACCAAAAAAAAAAAAAATGAAAAAAAAATCTGCAGTATATGGGAGAATGCCAGCAAAATAAGGAAGGAGCATATTGGTGTTTAAGGTGGCATTGGTTCAATTCCCTTCTCACTTGTATGCAAAGATTGAATGAAAAATAATGCCTCCACTCCCATAACTTTAATTGTTGTTGTTGTTTAGTCGTTAAGTCGTGTCCGACTCTTCGTGACCCCATGAACC